TAGCAATATCAGGATAATCATTTTTAACTTTTATCCTTAATGAAGGAAACAATGCATTATTTTCAAAATTCATTTTCAGTCTTTCATCAGTAGCCAGTTTCAAAAACTGTCACACAATTTATCTTTCAATGAAATAAATGGATTTTGGATCCATGAATTTCTTGCATGTGGAACTTACTTTTATGGAAAATACTCAAGATATTTTATCAAATTTATAATTAGCTTATTTATATTTTGTATATCAATGTCCTTTAAGTTTGATAGCTTATTGCTTCATTAGTCTGCAATGATTTCAGCACTTCACTATGAATTATTGCTACAAACTTAATAACAGGGGTTATACTCTGAGTAAAATTAGTACAAACTCCTATTTGTTTAATTCTTTGGAATGATTTCTCTGATCACTATTTAGTTTACTACTATGATTACTAACACATTACTGATGTGCGTCTTGCATTGGCAAAATAGGACAGTAAGGTTTGTTTTGCCATCTATAATTTAGGGTTAAAAAAAATGACACAAATGTTACTTCCCTAAATTAGCTATGCCTTACCAAAAAGTAGGCTTGATTAAAAATGAAAATGATTGTAAAAATAACAAGTTATATGAGTAAATAAATATTTACATTTTCATAGATTTTTACTCTTGAGTTGCAGGTGACAAACCTTTACATTTCACTCATTATGTCATACTATTGCACATGATAGGGACACAACCATGCCACCTGCAACTTGAAGAACCAGGTTGAAGAATACCTGAACTGTTCTATACTGTTTAGCAAGCAATGTCCAATGATCATGCGCTTGGATATTCCTGAAATGTCAAAGTGATATAAACACTGCTAAGCACTTACCTTTGTAATTTCTGTACTTATCTCCTTGTGGACTAAACACAGTTTGCAGACTGACACTGGCCCAAGAACCACACTTTGAGTTACTCTAGGGAACACTTGCATTGAAGGGACTGGCAGTAACAGAACTAGCGAAGGAATTTACGAAGTAACAAGGGAGAAGAACAAGGAGACCACAGATTTGTGGAAGACTAGGGAATTTTTAAGAAAGAGGAAGTGGTTAACTATATTGACTGCAAGAAAGCTCAAGTAGGTTGAAGACCAAAAAGAAGCAAGGGGATTGACAATTATCATCAGTGACATGTGAAAGAGTGATTTCAGTAGGGTGCTCTTGGTGGTAAAGAAAGCCAGTCACCAACAGGCTGAAAAATTGGGGAAGCAGAGATAATCAATGGGGACTACCCTTGTAAGGAGGTAGGTGGTTAAGAAATGGAAATAGTGTGGTAGCTTGGAGGTATAACAACTTTGAAGGAAGACTTTTTAGACCGATGAAGACTTTTCAGACCCTTTCCAAATTTTATTATAACTGAAGGGTTCTCAAGTTGAAGAGAGTTCCCTCTCTAGATAGAAAAATCTAAGATTTTTTTTTGTAGGAGTCTTACAGCAATCTTCTTAAAATTACCAAGTAGGTTGGGGGAGATCCATGAATATCAAGAAGTTCAGGGGGAACTTCTTTTAAGAGTCTATGAATTTTTTTTTAATTGTTAGTTTCTCTTGTCACCTAGGCTGGAGCACAGTGGCACAATCTCAGCTCACTGCAAGTGATTCCCAGGTTCAAGTGATTCTCCTGCCTCAGTCTCCTGCGTAGCCAGGATTACAGGAACCCGCCACTACGCCCAGTTAATTTCTGTATTTTTAGTAGAGACCGGGTTACACCATGTTGGCCAGGCTGATCTTGAACCCCTGACCTCAGGTGATCCACCTGCCTTGGCCTCCCGAAGTGCTGGGATTAAAGGCGTGAGCCACAGTGCCTGGCCTAGACCCTGCTGAAATTCTAATACTTCTTTAGTAGTGCAACAGAAAACTGTAAAGATTTTGATGGGGAACTCAATTGCTTCTGAGTTGTGTAAATGAAAAATATATTTTATTAATTTTTCCTTCAACTTTTAAGTTTCAGGGCATATGTGCAGGTTTGTTACATAGGTAAACGTGTGCCATAGTGGCTTGCTGCACAACCCATCACCTTGGTATTACGCCCAGCATCCATTAGTTATTCTTCCTGATGCTCTCCCTCCCCCCCGCCTTCTCCCTGACAGGCCCCAGTGTGTGTTGTTCCCCTTCCTGGGTCTATTTTATGGTATGTATGTGTGTGTGTGTGTTTATATCTATTTATATGTATATATTATGACATACACACCACACTTCTTATTCTAACTTTTATTTTAGGTTCAGGGATACATGTGCAAGTTTGTTATATAGGTAAACTGTGTGTCTCTGGGGTTTGGTGTGTAGAGATTTTTTTCATCACCCAGGTATTAAATATAGTAACTAAAAGGTAGTTTTTTAAATCTTCTCTCACCTTCCACCCTCAAGTAATCCCCAGTGTGTGTTGTTCCCCTCTTCGTGTCTATATGTTCTCATTGTTTAGCTCCCACTTTTAAGTGAGAACATGAGGTGTTTGGTTTTCTGTTCCTGCCTTAGTTTGCTGAGGGTAAAGGCTTCTGGCTCCATCCATGTCCCTGCAAAGGACATGATCTCATTCCTTTTTACGACTGCAGGAAAATATATTTCACATACTAGTGAACATAGTTAAATTAATCCATGATCAAGATATACATTCTTTTGTAAATTGAGAAATCTCTTTATCATAATTGTAATATGGTAAATTTAGATGTTGATAAATTGGTTTTATTTTTATTTTTATTTTTTTTTTGAGATGGAGTTTCGCTCATTACCCAGGCTGGAGTGCAATGGCGCAATCTCGGCTCACCGCGACCTCGGCCTCCTGGGCTCAGGCAATTCTCCTGCCTCAGCCTCCTGAGTAGCTGGGATTACAGGCACACGCCACCATGCCCAGATAATTTTTTTTGTATTTTTAGTAGAGACGGGGTTTCACCATGTTGACCTGGATGGTCTCAATCTCTTGACCTTGTGATCCACCCGCCTCGGCCTCCCAAAGTGCTGGGATTACAGGCGTGAGCCACCGCGCCCGGCCAGATAAATTGGTTTTAAATAAAACAAATGATATTTACATATGAAGAGAGTTTACTTCAGTTCCTAGAACTTTCCTTCACTTTCCTGCTGTCCCTACTACTTTTAGCAAGCAAGCATTTACTGTGTGCACAACACTGCGCTAGGTACTAAGGTAACAATGATACCCAAGATTTGGTCTCTGTCCTGAAGGTACTCTCACAGGAGAAACATTATTAGTCATGATGCTTTCTGTTGCAAACAAGTGAAACCCTCAGCTCAGTTGAGGTCAGCTCCAGGGCTGGTCAGATTAGAGACTCACTTACAACACCTGAGGATCCAGTCTTTTTTTTTCTTGCTGCATACACACATCAGCGTAACTCTGTAAGTTGAATGCACACCGAGTCTTTTGAAATGCCTCCTACACCAACCTCAGCATTTCTAGCTTCTCTGTAGGTTGGCTTGCCTCATGTTACAATGGCTGCAGCAATTGAAAGTGTCACATCCTCAACAATATTTAATATTATATTTAATAATATTTAGAACTGTGCCATCCCTGTATTTCAATTTATCAGGCTTCCAGTAGACCACCCTTTATCTTTCAAATGTCAAAACTGCATTGTGAGCTCTTGCTAAACTAATCTGGTGTGAGACAAATGGAAGCAGCACTTTAATTGCATTCATTCTCTGTAGCTGGACTTAGGCCTCAGCCCTACCTCCTGAAATTTACCCCCGCCAAGAAAGATTTCTGAAGTTAGGTAGGATTGGCTGTTAAATAGGCCAGTGCTTGCCAAACCTTTACACATCCTGATATATGTCATGTATGCAGATAAAAAGATAATCCATTATACAACTGTCTGGGATAAACTCAGGAGGTTTACAGCCATGACCAGCTTGAAGGTTCCTCCTGCCTCAGACCTTGCTCAGCTGCTACAGGATGAGGGGATTTACATCAGAGCACAACTGTAGTCTATTCACAGCACAAATCATCTCATTCCTTCTCAGTTGGTGAGTTCTGAGTGGGCAATAACTGTCTACCAGAGATAAAAACATGTACTCAAATTCAATAATCTATTTATATAAATACCAAGACACAGAAGCGATAGTTTTAAGCCAATGTGGTAGTCCCAACAAGCTTTTTAATGTCTTTGTGCCTTTGCACATGCGCCTTCTCTGTTTTCTTCATCAAAATAATGTAATGGACAAACGGAATCAAATACAGTTGAGTTTAAATCCTCTGCTACCCATCTGCCATGATACTGGGCAAATTAACTTCTCTGAGCCTGTTTCCCTGTCTGCAACGTAACTAGCTAATACTACCCATTAGAAAGGACTGTTTCTTAGTTAATGCATGCCGGGCTTAAAACCTAGACGATGGATTGATAGGTGCAGCAAACCACCATGGCATGTTTGCCTATGTAACAAAGGTAAACGTTCTGCACTTGTATCCTAGAACTTGAAGTTAAAAAAAAAAAAAAAAAGCTGTTTCTGGGGATTAATTATGTAAGGCGATCTGCACAGTTCCTGGTACACAGTAAATGTCAGGCCTGTCTGGCAAACTTCTATTCAACAACTACTGCTCCTCCGAAAATCTCCCTTAAATGTTTCCACGGTGCTTCCCGTTTTTACACCACTGAGAAGATCTTTTATTACATTAATTCTGTGTTCATTTCCCACAGATCCCTCCCCTTTCCCTAACCAGTGATCCCCTAAAGGCCAGCAACTGTCTAACATTTTGCATCTTCTAGTGACTAGTAAAGTTCAGCACCTATTAGCGCTCCAAGTTTGTTTTAGTTTTGGCCGACTTTGCTAAATCGACTGGGCAGGAGGAGACGGCGGACACCGCCCAGGGAGGCAAAGGTGCGCGCCCGCTGAGGGTGCACTCGCCAGATACTCCCCGCGGGGCCCGAGCGCCTTCCGTGTCAGACCCCGGGATAGGGACCCGGCCCACAGTCCTCCGCTGAACTATTTGTATAGCCCTGTTAAGGACACCCCAGCCTGGAGGGGGTGGTTTCGAGTGGAAACACGTCCGGGCCGCGCCGGATGCCTCCCGGAAGGCGCTTGGACCCACGCCGGGTTTCCCAGTTTATCCCTCACGACCTAGCGCTCCAGCCTGCGAACCGCCCAGCGCCCCAGTGCCCCACAGACTCCCGCGGGCCCGGGAAGCCTCGCGGACGTGACGCCGCGGGCGGAAGTGACGTTTTCGCGCGGTTGGACGCGGCGTTCAGTTGCCGGGCGGGGGAAGGCGCGTCCGGTTTTTCTCTGGGGACGTTGAAATTATTTTTGTAACGGGAGTCGGGAGAGGACGGGGCGTGCCCCGACGTGCGCACGCGTCGCCCTCCCCGGCATTCCTCCACAGCTAGCTGCCTCCAGCCGCGGGAAGGCGTCATGCCGCCCAAAACGCCCCGAAAAGCCGCCGCCGCCGCCGCCGCTGCCGCTGCCGTGGAACCCCCAGCGCCGCCGCCTCAGTCTTCTCCTGAGGAGGACCCAGAGCAGGACAGCGGCCCGGAGGACCTGCCTCTGGTCAGGTGAGCGAGCAGAGCAGCCGCCGCCTCACGCGGGAAGGGTGCCCCGGGGGTGCGGCAATCGGGCGGGCGCAGAGGTGGCTCGGCTGGACGCATTCTTGCCGGCGGCCAGGTCCTGGCGGGAGGAAACGCCCTCCCTGCCCCCAGCCACTGCTGAGCGTCTGCAGAATGGTAACAGGGTTCTGGGGTCGCGGGCTAGGGGTCTCGGCTTCAGCTTGACAGGTGTCGGCGGGTGGGATTAGGGTCCTAAGTGAAGTGACAGGTGCAGTTTTCTCGTGAGGCGGAGGCTCGGAGGCGGAGGGTCGTTGGGAGCGTCCATCAGACGTGAAAAATAAAAATACAAAAATGACTGGTATCTGTGGGAGAGTTTTTCACCGTTTAAGATCTGGAGTACTCCAGTGGTCATTTGACTTTCTGTTTTAGTCTTACGCGATGCAACAGTTGGGAAGTATTTTCTTCTAGGCGTGCATTGCATCGGAAACCCAGTCGTGGGAGAGCCCAACCAAAGAGCCTTGGACGACAAGCGCAGGGTCCCGAGTGTCCATTGCCTACAGGGTACTCCGCTCGGGAGCTTTCCGGGTTTCCTTAGAACAATGCGTCGAGGCCTTGGGGACTCAAAGCCATCTGTAGTGACTATGGGGGCATAACTCTTCAGAGGAACTGATACATGGGCAAAACTTTCGTGAGACATTTACCAGAAGTACTTGAAAGTTTCTAAACTTTTTTTTTCCTGTTGGACGAAGTCTTCTTGTGCGTTGGTCGGCTTCAGCTTGTCTCGTTATTTCTTCCATTTTGCCTTTTGCCTTTGAGCCAGCAAGGATCCTGGTGTCCCCTCTTGTCTTTGCTTTTGGCACAAAATTAGTGGTTCTGTGCTCACATGGAAATTTTCTTTTTCCCTTACTAAGTGAAATCGAAATTTAAGCAAGTCCATGTGGATGCACTAGAACTTGAAGGAAAGTGTTTATTGTATTGCAACTTCTTTTCTTTTTCATCACTGGTTCTACTTTGAGACTACAGGTTCATTGCAGGGGAATGGGAGTTGTTTTTGTTTTTCACTATTTTCTCACCCTTTTTCGTCTATCACCAAATCCTTTCACCCTCACTCACTTTTTACACTCGGTAGACACTAACAGAATTCACAGCGTAAAAGATTGAAATGGGATTTAGAAATGGCCCGTGGAAGGCTATTAAAAATTTATATATTTAAATGAAATGTCTTATAGGTCATTTAAAAACCATATTCGTTAAAAAACAAAACAAAAAATTAAAAACCACATCTGGGGCATGTTCTGAGAAAAGACATGACTTTACTTTCTGATTAAATTCTGATATGTCCAATTCTTCCAAAGTTCCCTTGGGAAAATGCAGTAATGGCTACTCTAAAGAATTCCATGTTATGCACATAGCTTTGGAAGCATACTCTAATGTAGGGTAGCTAGAATATTGAGGTTCTGGCTACTGTTTGGAAAAAAGAGGATTGTGTTTCTTTCATTTTTTAACTCATTATTTTATATATTTTAAGTAATGGAACCATAAAAAATTATCTTGTAAGTCAAAACCATGCAAGATACAGTCTGTTCTTGTTTATCTGTACCCACCGAGGGTTTAATTAACATAGACAGTTAAACTCTAAATGAGCAAGGGTAGAACCACTAACCTGCAGTCTGATGCTGAGCAGCATCTTGCCTGGAGATGGAATCAGGGCTCACTCCAACTGCCCTTCTAGTGACAGATTCCATTTCTAATTTGAGAGTTGAGATCTTATTTCTGTTGCCTTATCTCTGGCCTAAGTAATGTAGCTGGAAGGGAAACTCATTAGGAATAGCATACCACCTTCATTGTTGAAATAGTAGAAGGTTTTGAGCTGGATGTGATGGCATGTACCTGTAGTCCGTACTACTCAGGAGGCTGAGTCAGGAGGATCGCTTCAGCTTGGGAGTTGGAGACCATCCTGGGCAACAAAGACCCCAGTCTTTAAAAAAAACAAACAAAAAAGCTGACCAGGCATGTTGGCTCACACCTGTAATGCCAGCACTTTGGGAGGCTGAGGTGGAAAGATTGGTTGAGGCCAGGATTTTGAGAGGAGCTTGGGCAACAAAACAAGACCCTGTCTCTACAAAAATTTTTTAAAAAATTAGCCAGTCATGTGGCATGCCTGTAGTCCCATCTACTCAGGAGGCTGAGGTGGGAGGATCCCTTGAGCTCAGGAGTTTACGGCTGCAGTGAGCTATGATTTTACCACTGCATTCTAGCCTGGGTGACAGAGTGACACCCGAACTCAAAAAAAAAAAAAAAAAAAAAAGAAAAGAAAACTAATTATGTTTTGAAGGAGGAATTGGCAGTCAAGAATAGTGGTCAGGGACATGGATTATGAAGTTAGACTGTTGGGGTCACATGGTGGTTTACCTCTTACTGGCTGAGACCTCTGATAAGTTCTTTAACTTCTCTGATTTGATAGATATCTGTAAATGTTTACTTTCACAGATGAGAACACTTATCTAAAAGGGCTGATATGGGGATTCTGTGAAACCGTATGTCTAAGGTACTTTCTACAGGGTCATAGTAAATACTGAAAAATTATTAATTATTCTTCATACTATTATTATTAGATGTCACATAGATATTCGATGAATGAAAGGAATTAGCCAACAAGAATTTATTGAATGCTTGTCTTTGTTAAGGAGAAAGGACAAAAATAAGCAGTCAGTATCATCATGTAAGATGTGCTAGTAGGTAGAGAGATTATATGAAACATTGATAAGAGTAGACTACAGTTTAGCAAAGTTACTGCCATTAAATTGTATAATATTATCTTTGGGTTTTTAATATTTTTGTTGTTATGCTTATGCTGTTTTCCCAAACAGCTTTAGCTATTACATTTACTTTCCTTTGCAGGAGTGTTTTGCTGCTCTAAAGTATATTTGACTCACCATGCAAGCAAATATTTCTCACTGTGTGGTAGCCTTATTTTTCAATGACCATGAAAAAGATAATGATACATTTAAATTCGAAATATAATTTCTTTCTAAGGTAAAATAAGATCTCAAGATATTTAGTAATGTTCTCTTTTACAATAGTGCTATAATGTGTAAACTATTGAAACAAGTGTTTACTGAATTAATATGATTTATAAGTATATGCCAATTATATGATTATTTTCATTTGATAGGGTTGAGTTTGAAGAAACTGAAGAACCTGATTTTACAGCGTTATGTCAGAAATTAAAGATACCAGATCATGTCAGAGAGAGAGCTTGGTTAACTTGGGAGAAAGTTTCATCTGTGGATGGAGTATTGGTAAGGATTTTCTTAAAACATTCTGAATTTTTTTTCTCATTTAAAAAACAACTTCAAATCACTATACGAAAATTGAAAGATAGAAAAATATAAAGACAATAAAAGCTAATTATAATTCCATTACTCAGAGGATATTTACCTCTTGTAACATTAAAAATGTTTGGAAAAAATCTCTCTATATATGCCTCCCACCAAACTATTTTAATGCAGGTCTTAGTTATATTTTATTCACTATAATACAAGGACTTTTTAAAAAAAACCACCATACCTTATAAAATAATTTGTATACCTTCTAATATGCAGTCACTGTTCAGATTTCCTAATTGTCTTATAATTAATTTTGTTAGAATTCAGGATCTTGAAAATATTTTGATATATTCTTTTCATTTTTTCTTTGCATATGTATATATGTGTATGTTTAATAACAGCAGCAAAAAATTACCAGTATTTTATATGTACTGGGGGAATAGTATAAGAACTTTACATAGCTGGGTGTGGGGGTGCATGCCTGTAATCCCAGCTACTTGGGAGGCTGAGGTGGGAGGATTACTTGAACCTGGGAGGCGGAGGTTATAGTGAGCCAAGATCACACCACTGCACTGCAGCCTGGGCAACAAAGCAAGACCCTGTTGCCAAAAAATAAAAAAATAAGTCTGGACACAGTGGCTCAAACCTATAATCCCAGTACTTTGGGAGGTCGAGGTGGGTGATCACTTGAGGAGTTCAAGACCAGCCTGGCCAACATGGTGAAACCCCATCTCTACTAAAAATACAAAAAATAGCCAGGTATCGTGGTGGATGCCTGTAATCCCGGCTACTTGGGAGGTTGAGGCAGGAGAGTTGCTTGAACCTGCGAAGCAAAGGTTGCAGTGAGGCAAGATAATGCCACTGCACTCCAGACTGGGCAACAAAGCAAGACTCTATCTCAAAAAGGAAAAAAAAAAGAACTTTAGAAATATACAGATAACTCATTTTAAGACCATTGATATATGAAATATAAAATCTCTATTTTATGTGAAATCTTCATTTTAAAGATGAAGACACCAAAGTAGAGTGCGGTTGAGTAACTTGACCCTAGAAAAATAAGAACCTTGTCCCTAGAAAATAAGATCTCAAATATAAATTTGAGATTATATATAGTTATGTATAATTACGTGTAGTTACATAGTTTTGTATTTTCTTGTTTTTTCCTAATATGACCATTTTCTTATGTTATTAAATTTTTTTTCTAATATAGTTTCTAGTGAGAGTATTATATTTTAGCTATTGGATGTATTTTAATTTGTTAACTCTCACCATTATTGGACATTTGGGCTTTTTCCAACTTTTTGATGCTGTAAAATAATGTAATAAACTATGTATTCATAAGAGTAATGCTTGGTACAAAGTGAGTCCTTGATAATTTGTTAAATAAATTAATGAATGAATATCTGATTATTTTATTAGAATAAATTCTTTTAAGTTGAATTACTGCATCAAAAGCTATGAACTCTTGATGATTATTGCTAGATTACATTTCAGACAGATACTTTTAATGAATTTACCGTCTCAGTATAGTAGTGTAAGAGTATCTGTTTTTACTGATCAGATTAACAGAGCAAAATGTGTTTATTTATGTCCTATAAGAAAACTGTTTAAAACCATTAAAAAAAAATCTCTGGCAGTAAAAAAGAGAAAACAACTGTTGTAATTTCCAAAGAATTGAACATAGTCTTATACTTCTTATCTAAAAAGAGAGGATTACTGAGTATCTTGAATGTATGACTTGGGTGTTATAATCCCCAGGCATCTAATTTATATTTTAACTGACTTGGGAACTTCATGTACAAAGCTGTTTTTGTGCATATACAGTTAAACGGATCAGAGCGCCTTCACTTTTCTCTTCCTAAAATAATAGATTTTTAGTGTTCAGAAATTTTGGAAGGGATGGCTGATTATAGAGAGTATTAGTGTATATACATACTATAGTTTTCAATTTATAAGTGCATTGTGTTCCAAATCTGTTTGCAAGTGTGATATTGTAGTTAGGTTTCCAGCCTAGTTCACATAACTTATTTTTTTGTACTGAACTATAACAATAAAAGTTTTAACAGTAAAATCTTTTTTGAGCTTCAGATTTGAAAAAAAAAATATATATATATATGCAAATGTTACTGTTTTATTGCCCTTTTTAAATCCCGGCTTTGTCTCTACCTTCCCTGGGAACTAGCCCAGTTTAAATCTTATTTTCTAATGGAGCTTGTGATGGGGACTAGGATGTGTGAAATTATTTATGGCTAGGTACTGGAGGAAGGTAAGAAAGGAATTTCATGTTACTTTTGGGATTTGAGGTATGCTTTTGAAGGGTATGGCAGAAGATGATGTCCTTGAAATATGATTTTAAGTGCAGTTAAGTTTTTGAGCGTTGGCCTGAGAATTTAACCTTCAAAAAGGAAACCCTTTTGACAGTAGAAAGTAGGTGATGTTTATTGGGATAGAGGATGGATGGGTTAAGAGTAAGGATTAAGAGTCAAGCAGATATACCACTTACTAGCTCCATGATCCTGAACATGTTACTTACAGTTTTCAAGCCTTAGTTTTCTTATCTGTAAAAGGAACTGACAATAATTTCTGGATCTTGGGGAGTTACTGTGCAGATTAAATAAATTAATGCATATAAAGCTCTTGTTAGAGTCAACGAATGTGTATGTTAGGTATGGCAAACAGAATAATTTTACTTAAGAATTGCCCTGGAACATTTTATCATTAATGTACTTTTTTTTAAGGAGAACTTAGGGTATTAGTTAAAATGGTTAAAAATTTAAATGCATTGTAGCTATTTTGATGTAGTATGGTTGTTAAAATTCTTATTTTTAAGTACTTTAGGGTCAGAAAACTTGTTTATGCATACATAAAACATGCTTACAGCTGGTTAGTGAGATTATCCTCTTCTGTAGAATCCCAGAAGTCTAACAGCCTTTCTTCATTTTGTCTGTTTTTTTCCCCTTTAGTCTAAGCTGACAGCATTTCTGCTGAATTGGGAGATTAGATCTATGAGTCCAAAACCTATAATTTCTTTGTCAAATTGTCTATCCTTGATGTTCTTTTGAAAACACACTTTCTCATTTTTTTGTGATATGGATAGGTTGATATTTTCCAAGTCTTCAAGTGTTGGTACCTGTTTGCTTAACAATTCTTTTTAAAATATCTATCCTTGGCCAAGCACAGTGGCTCACGCCTGTAATCGCAGCACTTTGGGAGGCTGAGGTGGGCTGATCACCTGAGGTCAGGAATTTGAGACCAGCCTGGCCAATGTGGTGAAACCCCATCTCTACTAAAAACACAAAAATTAGCTGGGCTAGGTGGTGGGTGCCTGTAATCCCAGCTACGCAGGAGGCTGAGGCAAGAGAATCATTTGAACCTGGGAGGTGGAGGTTGCAGCGAACCAAGATCGCCTCATTGGACTTCAGCCTGGGCAACAAGAGCAAAACTCTGTCACACACACACACACCAAAAAAACCCACCTCTGTCCTCACATTTTACTGTAAGCAGAAGAAATCAGACTTTACTTTCAACACATAGTTCAGAAGTCTCAGTTAAATATCCAACTTCATCACAAACTCTACCTTCCACAAAATACTAGAACACAATTCAGCCAATTTGTTTTCCTTTTTTAAACCCAGATCACCTTTTCTCCAGTGTCCAATAATATGTTCCTCATTTCTACCAGATACCTCACCGGAAGGATCTTTAATGTTCATATTTCTACCAAGAGCCTCTCTGCAAGGCAGTCTAGGCTTTTTCCAACATGTACATTGAAACTTTTCCAGCCTCTACCATTATGCATTTCCAAAGCCACTTCTAAGTTTTTTTTACAGCAGCACCCTACTTCCTAGTACCCAAATCTGTCTTTGTCTACTAGGACTGCCATAACAAAATACCACAGACTAGGTGACTTAGATTGTCCATATCTTTAATGATTTTCTTTCTTTGCGTTTTACTGGTTATTGAGAAAGAAATATGAAGTCTCCAACTGTAATTAGAATGGTCTTTTAAAATTCTGTTTTCTATTAATAAATTTTTTTTTTTTTTTTGGGACGAAATCTCAACGTCGGCCAGGCTGGAGTGCAATGGTGCCATCTCAGCTCACTGCAACCTCTGCCTCCTGGGTTCAAGTGATTCTCCTGCCTTAGCCTCCTGAGTAGCTGGGATTATATATAGGTGTGCACCATCACGCCAGGCTAATTTTTGTATTTTTAGTAGAGACATGGGGTTTCACCATGTCAGTCAGGCTGATGTTGAACTCCTGACCTCATGATCCACCTGCCTTGGTCTCCCAAATTGCTGGGAGCTACCACATCCAGCCTTTATTGATGTATTTTAAAGCTTTATTCTTGGATGCATACAAGTTTAGAATTTTTATGCCTTTTAGGTAAATTGGTACCTTTATCATTATGTAATGTGCTTTTTTAATCCATATTTTTATCTTTTGTTCTGCAATGTTCACATATCCATTCCACTTTTCTTATGATCAATCTTTACATTGTATATCTTTTACCTTCATTTTGATTTTAACATATTTCTTTTTTATATTTAAATGGATTTGTTGTTGTTTTGTAATCAGCATTCATTAAAAATTTAACTGAATTCTTTTTACTTTTGTTAGGGTTCCCTGTGTCTCTTCCTTTCATGCTGTGCCACAGACGAACCATTATTCATATATATTCTCTCATTGGAGGTTCCTTTTTATAGGTGAAACTAAATAATTTGAAATATAAAGAAAGGATATGTTAAGTTCAAGAAAGGGTATGTTTTTATTCTTTATCCGGCTTGTTCTTGTACGGGTGGAAGCAATACTCTTTGCAGCTTTCTGCAATCTAGGAAGAAGTGGAATTTTACATTATCATTTGCTTTCCTTACAGGTTTACCTTAGTAATTTGTTTACTGAGTTCTATCCACAGGACTAATTGAAACTATACCATACTCCTTCCATTTTAAACCTATCCATTCAGTCTCAAATT